GTTATATCAATCTTTCAAAACCTGGATTATGTAGATAGATCAAAACCATTTTCTAAGGCATTGCAGTCAATTACTTAGCAAGTCATGTTGTTTTCAACATTATTTGAGTAAGTTTATACCAATTTTTCCATCCATGTGACTTACTTTAAAAAAAAAATTGATTCTGCATTAGTTTCCTTGCATAATTCAATTAACCAGCTACTGTATTCATCCCAGAAACTTTTCAAGTATGTATTTGCTGCTATTCTTTCCTGTGTAAGAAGCTTGTCATACACTTTCCAGTATGTACAGTCAGATCTGCCAGTTTTTTTTTTTTAACATAGCCACATGATCCAATCAAGTTTTATTTTTCTAATAAACTAACACAACTGTAAAAACAGTGAGCATGGTGGCAGATTGGCCGGAAAAAAAGAGGCAAAGCATATCCACCATCACCCTTTGGTATTTTTAGTTTTTGTTTTTCCAGAATCCTAGAGTTCTAAAGCATTTCATAAAAAATACCTTTCCCAGACAATGACCATGTGTGAGTAGCCAACTCAGTAGACATTTCATCTTTCATAACAAATTCTGCCTTTCTTTATGGGAAAGAAAAAACTCCTCTTCCAGCTATTTGTTTTTCCATTTTCTTATGTCCAAATAAAAAGGTTTGAATTAAACTAGGGGGTCCCAGCTTTTACTCAACGGTAGTGACTAAGTCATAGTCCCTGGGAAATGGAAATCTCACCTATGAGAAGTCATCAGGTGCTTTGAGAAGGGAAACATGTTAGTAGGCTGGCCACCCATTTGGTCTATTATTTTGATCACTAGACCTTTAAGTTCATTTGTTGGGGAATACTGGTACCTTTTACAGCTTAAATGTCAGTGTCCATGTAGTTCTCTGACTGGTTTTGTTATGTTTTGTCCCATATATCATTTCTTCTTGTATTTTAGTTTACTATATTAACAGGTACTACGTGTGTGTGTGTGTGTGTGTGTGTGTGTGTGTAGGCTTATTACAGAATTAAATATAATTAAATATGATCTGATTAACTTACAGATTCTGATCAAGTTGGGGGAAACACGTTTTTTTCGTGGTTAGAGCACACAATTGCCATTTTTATTTGCTTCAACATACTTGGATGAAGGAATGGAAGACTTTATTTTTGAGGGATTGGTTATGTCTTCATAGACAATACTTACAAAATGTTGTCATTTTCACATTCTGAGGTTTCCTGATGCTTCACTGTTATGCAGATCAGCTTCTGGATGTATCTAACACATGCTTGCTGATTTTCTAGTAGCCTTAGATTACTTACAGCCGGATAAAAAATTACCTGGATGGGCTTTGCTAGCAATGTCATCATTGACTACTCTTTGTAATGATATATAGAAGCTTGATTTAGATTGCATTTTGCTTAGTCAGCATGTAGAAAGTAGGAGCCTTGCTAAGGGTCTAGTAGATACTGACAATATGGAGCTGGCAGCACTTCGTAAACATTTTTCAAAAGAAGTGGTTTGCATTTATTAGTCTTCTGAAGGAGTATTTGAAAGATCATGAAACCACTTGTTCCTTGAAGTAAAATTTTATGCTCAAAGTATTCAAACAAAGCATGATTGGTTCTGTTCATCACGCCAGTTGTTTCTGAAATTATTTCTCAATGTTGCTACACTTCATTTAGTTTAATTAAATATCTGCAATTAGTTTGCTAAAACTTAAAAGATAAACATAGATTTTTGAAAAAATTCAACAGAAAAATTCAGCAGAAAAGCATTCTTTTGAAGGAAAGGAGGTAGAGGGAAGAAGCCATACTGCATACTTGGTCAAAGTGACTTGATCACATAATTGCTAAATGTGATTCTTTTGAAGGAAAGGAGGTAGAGGGAAGAAGCCATACTGCATACTTGGTCAAAGTGACTTGATCACATAATTGCTAAATGTGACATGGGATCCTGAGTGGGTTCCTGGAACAGAAAAAGGACATTGGAGGAGAAACTGGTGAAAAGGAGAAAAGGTTTTAAAATTAGTAGTCTTGTATCACTGCCAATTTACTGGTTTTTGAGAATCATAATCTGATTTTATGTAACTTACTAACATTGAGAAGCTGGGAGAAGGATGTCAAGTTTGCTGAAAGCCTAAAATTTTTTCAGAATTTAAAATTTTTAAAAATGACCTGATCAGCAATTAGGTAACTTTAATAATATTCATGCTTTTAAAGTATAAGCGATAATTTTAAATCCCAAACTTTTGAATCATATTTTTGAAAAGTTTTTCTTTATTATCTTTGGAAGTTTAGGGAGAAAATACAAGTAGAGAAAATGTAGAGGGCGATTCATCAAATGCCTGTATACTCATGAGCTAGAACAAATATAAACATTTTGTCTTATTTGCTGTAAACACAAACACACAGAGAACTTTGCAAAATTATTCAGGCCTTCTCCAGTGTTCCAATGTTGAGAAGGTAGTTCTTTATAATTTTTACTTGTAGGCATTTTGTCCAACAGTGCATTTGTCCCCCTAAGAAAAACACATGCCTTAACTCACTTTCTGTTGCCATTTATGCCAGGTTGTTGAATGTATAAATATCTAGTTACATGAAGTCTGAGTAGTCTCTGTGGCCCTAGGTGTATGTGTGTAGTAATATGTAAGTATCAAGGTCATGAAAGACAAAGCTGGGTGATCTGTCGCAGATTCAAGAAGACTAAGAAGTTTTGATGACTAAATCCAGTAGGGATCCTGGGTTGAATCCTAGACCAGAAAGAGGAAAGTAGTGGGGAAAATGGCAAAATTTTAAAAAGATGTATAGATTATTTAAAAGTATTACATTGATTTGGATTTTCTGATTTCAGTATTTGTACTAAAGTTACATAGCTTGGTGAAGGGCATACAGGAACGTTACACAGTATGTTTTTGCAATTTTTAGGAAGGCCCAAATTTTTTTCAAAAAAGAAAGATTTTTTTTTTTTTTTTTTTTTTTTTTTTTTTCAAAGTGAGGGGACCTGGAGTAGATGATTTCTAGATCTCTTCTATCCAGACTTGTTATGTTACAGTGGTACAAAATGAAACCAAAGATGTAAGCTCTTTTATTTCCTGTCTACCAATTAAGAAACATGTTGAGACAGCCTGAAAAATAGGATCCGATTCTAAACTGTCAATTCAGTTCAATGGAACATGTCCTGAATAGCTGCTGTTGTGCCTAGGACTACACTGAATAACCTGGTCTTTGCCTCCAGCATGGTCACTACTTGAGCTTGAAGATGGTATGATCTTTGCTCTGAGTTACTCACATTATTCAGATGTCCCTTCTTTGATGTTTTAAAATAATGGAATTGGAGAGAATGAAATAGAAATTGATAAGCTTTGGAAATTTGTCAAAGGAAATAAGAGCCTTCAAAGAGGGCCTGAAATTTTTCAATCTGGGTGCCTGAATAGATAATGATAACCATTAAATAAGATAAGCAACCTAGGAGGCCTTTGGTACAAGGATTCAATATGACTATCACATTAATATTACCACCAGATAATTAAGTATGTCAATATGGGGTTATACAAAGATATGTGTATTTGAAATCCTGACATTCTGTTAATGCCTGTTTATTAAATAATTACAGTGAATTAAGGCTATACTTTTATTCCTTTATGACAAATTTCTGGATGATGAATAGATATATTTCATTTAGTAAATACTTTTAGAAGTTTTAAATATTTTAGAAAAGTAGTGCTGTTAAGTCAGAAAATTATGGCTTATGTTATGGACTCTGTTCATAAAGATTTTTTTTTTTAATTTCTGGGTATTTTGGGGCCTGTTTCTTTTATTTTCTGGAGTGTTTTTTTTTTGGCTTATAATATATGTTTATTTAGGCTAAGTGAAAGCTTCGAATCAGGATAATTGTAAATGAAACAGTAGTTTCAGTTTCACAATTTGATGAAAATTTTTAAGAAATTGATTTCCACCATGATTATTTTTAAACAAAAGTCTTATCTCTAATGCTTTTGTGGGTGTGCTGCCTTCTGTGGAGGATTAGAGATTGAATATCTTATTTCTGCAGTAGGAATATACAACATATATGAAATTTGCAAGTCTCCACAGAATTGAGAAGTCAATATGGTTACTGTACTTTGAAACATGTGTATACTATGGGCCTAAGGTGTTTTTTAATCTTTAGTCTTTTTAGGGATCAAATATCATTAGAAAAATAAGCCATGGGCATTACAAACGTGGTCTGGTGAAATTCAATATTCACTATGACAATTTAGAATATGAGCTCCTTGGGCGGAAAGTTAACTCACCACTCTAACTTTGCATCTAAATATCTTAAAATGTGCCATTGGTTTTATGAAAAGGTTTTGATCTACATTCCTATTTTAAGTTCAAAAGAAAACCTACATTTTAAAGTGTATTCCTTTTCTGGGTATATTTACTTTGAACTATAGCATATAGTTTTTCTCATAAATCTAACCTGCCACTATCTGTTTTTAAGACTTTGTAAACTTCAAGTGGTTATGATGTGTGAAGTTTGGATTAAACTAAAATTTTTCGAAAACACATGTTACATATTTTGATTGTTTTGAATTTTAACATGGGCTGGTAAAAAACTTAAGTGTCTAGTGGAGTAATACACTGTACTCTGTTACTGTAGGAAATCACAGAAAAATTACCCTTTCCCATCATGTTAACAATAGACAAATGAAGCAGCTGTTCTTATTCTTAATGTAGTTGTTTGAAAAACTTGCACAATTTAATGAAAATGTCTCTACTCATAAAATTTAAAATGCTCACACATGGAAAAAGTCATAATGTTTTGGCAAATATTACTTTGTTAGGAATGTGAATGAGGTATACCTGCTTCGTAACTAGAACTCTATATAAATGGCATGGAACTGTGGTGGACCGCCAACTGAGCAAGAAGACTCTGACAAAGGATGAATTAATAATCTTAAAAAATACAGATAGTTCCTTCCCAAACATTTGTTTGGTAAGGATGAATTATATACTCTTCTCTATTTCTTTTTTTTTTTTCAGGCATAATTTTTGGTTCATCATTTCTACTCAGTATAAATGATTTTCTCCTTAAAACAAGCCTCAAAGAAAGAAGTCGCATTCTGATAGGACCGTGTTGTGCTACTGCCAATCTGGAAGCTAAATGGTGTAAACACAGTGGCAATCCAGGCCCAGAACAATCCATACCAAAAATATCCATTGACTTAAGAGGAGGTCTGCTACAGGTCTGTGGGTATTGGGCCTACCATAGGTTATTAACTAGCCTTTGTTCATTTTTGAACTGTTTCACTAAATTTCAAATCTTTGTGTGGTAAGAAAGGGTATTTGTCAGATTGCTACTTATTAAATTTTCAACAAATTTATTGAGATATAATTCATATACCAGGCAATCTACCTATTTAAAGTATACAATTCAATGTTTTTTAGCATATTCACGGAGTTGCACAATCATTACCACAATCAATTTCATAACATTTTCATTACCACCAACAAAAAACACATATCCATTAGCAGTCACTTACCATTACCCTCTAACCCCTTCATCAGGCCTAGGAAATCACTAATCTACTTTCTATCTTCATGTATTTGCCTACTCTTGACATTTCATGTAGATAGAATCATATAACCTATGGTCTTTTGTGAATGACTTCTTTCACTTAGCGTGTTTTCACAGTTCATCCATGTTTACCAAGTGTCAATATTTTATTCCTTTTTATGGCAAATAATAATCCATTATATGGATATACCATATCTTATGTATTCATTCATCAATTGATAGACATTTGGGTTCTTTCCACTTTTGGCTGCTATGAATAATGCTGCCATGAACATTTGTGTATGACTTTTTGTGTGGACATACATTTTCGTTTCTCTTAGATATATAATTAGGAGTAGAATTGCTGGGTCAATTTTTTTTTTTAATGTGTAGACTTTTTTTTTTTTGAGACAGGGTCTTGCTCTATCACCCAGGCTGGAGTACAGTGGTACGATAATAGCTCACTGTAGCCTCAATCTCCCGGGCTAAAGTGATCCTCTTGCATCAGCCTCCTGAGTAGCTAGAACTGTGTACCACCACTCAGCCAGTGTTTTGTTTTTATTTTTTCTCAGAGATGAGGTCTATGTTGTCCAGACTGTAGACTTTTCTAACTATTAATACAAAGTAGTCACTCTGTTGCAAGTACAGTGTCACTAGCAATAAATAAGAACCAATTTCTTATATTAAGTATTTTACATGTTATGATACCTGATTTCAACTCTTGATAAATTAGTCACATTGCAACCTCTTAATGCATTTGTCTTAGCAGCCAAGTATAGAATGTTGAAGACATCCAACTTATTTCTTATTTTTATTTGAATGTATTTTAATCTAATCTTTATGTACCTTGATGCCACTCTAAACTTGACACAAATCCAAAATCCTTGAAAGATTCACAGTGATAGAAAATTAAAATAAATTATTGCACAATAATAAAGACATTAAACATGAATTTTCTTTTCTTTTCTTTTCTTTTCCTTTCTTTCTCTTCTCTTCTCTTCTCTTCTCTTCTCTTCTCTTCTCTTCTCTT